AACATTTACAGTTGCCAATTTATTGAAGAATATGCTAAAGAATACAGGTGAACAGCCCGATAAAGAGATACGTACAGTGATGTCTGGGAGGGTCTCAAGCCTGGGAGGGCCTGGTGCTTCTGTTCCTGTGGAATTGGGATAGGTCACCCTCCCAGTATGTGGATGCATTCACCAACCTGAGAGCTTTGGATCCCCGCACTGTTGAGATTTTATGGAGGCATGATCAATTATACACTCCATTTCCAGGTCCCCTCCCCTTTCTAGAGAAGTTGGGGGCAGGACTGAAAATTCCAAGCTTCTGAGTACGGCGCTGTGCAGGAAACATTCAGGAGCTTACCCCAAGTTGACTCGCTCGGACAAAAGATGCTCCTTGTGCTCTTATCACTTAGGAATTTACAAGAGATTCAGGAACCCTTTCATCAGGTACTGGGGATGAAAACTGAATATCTCTTACTATAAATCACAGTATCAGAATAATTTAATGTTACTTATTCCAGGACCATTTGTATTTCTTTGCTGATATTTTTGTTTTTACTGTACTATGGGGAGAAGATAGACCTTGAACTATGTTACTGATTTATTAGAACAGGACCTCTTGGCATTTAAAAAAATTAACTTGACTGTTCATTTGTTAATTTTTATCATGTTACCAAGCTAACTATATTACTGTTAGTTTAACAGGCCCTCAGCTATTAAATTTGTCCTTTGGTCTGCTTACAGGGACTTATTTTTTTCCCTGTGTTCAGTATTTAGTTTTGTTTTTCAATCCCATTTCCTCTGTTTTCTTTGAATAATTATGGCACATAGAGGAATACAGTTTGTAGCCAAATCTGAATACTGGGCACACGTTGTGTCTTGTAAATGGTAAAGGTAACATTAAGTATCTATGATGTGCTAAGTACTTTAAATTTGTTAGCTTTTATTTTCGCAAAGTCCTTCAAAGAGTTATCTGTCATCTGTAGTTGGGGCTTCAGGAAGACTTTCCCTCAAGAAGCTAATAAACTTAAAAAGTATCATTTTAAATAAAAGACACCTAGCCTCACATTTGTCTCTAAATTTAACTGTAACTCTGTTGTCTATAGTAATAATACTCCTGTATAAAGAATATATGAGGAAGAAGAGAGATCTCACAACCATGTGTCCATAAGCAGTGGCGAGGTGCATAAACAATGGGGTGGCCATTTAAGTGCTGTTTCTCAGGCTTCTCAAGAGGGAAGGAGCTTCAGCCAGTTCCCTCATCCAAAGAAAAAAGAAGTGACTAGGCAGAGCCCAAGGCCTTGTTAGAATAGTGGCCCCGCCATCCCAGGTCCGTCTCAATGTAAAAGCCAGCGCCCTTCTCCCAGACCACACTGCTATCGTCATTGAGTCACCATGTACTTACTGTACAAATATTTTGCAGTCCAACCCAATTAAATATTTCCAGAGCTACATAAATTAGTGGGCTGATTTATTCATTCTTAGACCTAAAACAGAATGATAGCCAAGAAAATAGCTAAGTGAGCCTCAAATAAGCTATGCTTCCTAATTTGGGGTCCTTACAGAGTTCCAGTATTGTCTCATCTCTTGACTTTAAAAAATGTCTGTGTTCATATACATCTTATGGTCAGTTAGGTGCAACGTTTTTGACCATTTAATCACAGTATGTGGAGTGGAGGGTGGTCCTGATGTCTTATTACCAGTCTCAGCACCACATGTGGTGACAGTCCCCTTGGCATTCCTAAGCGGTGCACTCCTTTTCTTGTGGGTAGTGTGTTGACTGAGAACTGACCAACGTCTGGCACAATTCTGATTGGTACAACTCAGGATTATGTATTATCCATAGCAAAATTTTAATCTGGTCCTATCTTCTGTATCAGCTAGCAAGCCTTTAGATTACTCCTCTCTACAATTTGTGAATATGTATTATAATGATACAAATTAATGTTATATAGTTTTTTAGACCTGGCAAAACATGCTCAAGTCAATAAAGTGTTATCCCTAGAAAAATGAAATCTTCTGAGGAGGAGACAAGAGTTGTCCATACTACCCATCCACTGCTTTGATTAATGTATTAGATTTTTTTGTTGTTGTTTTGATAATTTGAAGATATTCCAGAGGGCAAAAAATTTTTTTAATCTTTCTTAAGTCTTTCAGCATGGCACCCATTCTCTGTGACAGTAAAACCCTGAGCATGCCAAGGTAAAGTGGAGAGCAACTTTAAAGGGGAAAACACACCTTTTACCTTTCAGGGGAAGAGAGCTCTTTTAAATTGATTCCATTGCTCTGACACTTACAACTTTAAATTTTATTTTAAAAACAAAACATCTGGCTGGAACAGAAGAGTATTCTAGACAGACAAGCCAAGGGGAAAGTCGGAGAGATTCCCTCATATTTACCACCCATGCCTGCCCAGAAATTCACTTTCCAGAGCTCCACACAGATCTCAGAGGGTCTTTATATTTTGCTTTAATAACGTAGACTTTTAATTCATTAGATGACAGATACAGTTTATAGTTCAAGAAAATAAAGATTAAAATAGGAATATTCACCTTACTGTCACAAGGTCACAGAGTAAGTCTGTAAGGCAAACTAATGCGGTGATTAAAAGAGTCATTTTTGTTAATTTATAAGCCTACATATAAATATAAATCTATAGTATATTGTCTAAGGAATAATTATATATAAATATATTTTTATATAATGTATTTTAACAGTAATTTACTATAAATAATAGTAGCTAACACTTACATTGCACTCTCTGTATGGGACGCTTTCTAAGTGCTTTACACATACAGATCCACAATTGCAAAATCAAAAAAAACTCTAAAAATCAAAAGTGTTTTTCATAAATTTGCCTGAACTCATTTAGTACTAAAACATGACCTGAATTTACTTGAGGCTATTTATAGATTTTTATTATTTATTTATCTATTATTCCTCACCTGGGGATATGTTTCTATTGATTTAGAGAGAGAGAGAGAGAGTAACATCGTTGTGAGAGAGAAACATCAATCGGTTGCCTCCTGTATGTGTCCCGGCCAGGGATCTAACCTGCAACCCATGTATGTGCCCTGTCTGGGAATGAAACCCACCGTTTTGTTGTACAGGACGGCACTCGAACCAACTGAGCAATCAGCGAGGGCAAGGCTATTTATAGTTTTTATTCACCCTATTTAATTTGGATATTACCTGCAGAAATACTAATGTGCTTGATCGTGAAGTGCTGCCCCAGGCCCTGCTAGTTCTGCATGTTTGTGGGTCTCGGGATGTACCATTTTACCTTCCTAAAATTTGTGTGTGTGTGTATTTTTCCCCCCTGAATTTCAAAATAGATTTAGGCAGAAAATACTCAGGTAAAGGGTTTGGGACCTGTGTTTACTCTTACTCCTCACAACAGTGCTGTAAGATAGGTGCTGTTTTATTCTCTGTTATATAAATGAGGAAACTGGCTGAGGGAAAAGATGAAGTACCTGAACCAAGGTCACACGGCCAGTAAGGGGTGGGGCTAGGATGCGAGCCCAGGCTTCTCTGAACTGTCATGCTCTCCTACCTCTGTTCTAAAATAACTTACTTGGGATGTTGATGAAAGTTTAGGAATGTAATCCTGGTTCTCTGTGCTGTACTCCTGTGATTGGTTTTCTAAGTCATTAACTTCTAGACTTTTGAATTGGGAGACAGTACAAATGTAATAGGGTATAGATACATTCTTTTTCTATTACCTGCCCTCGGTGTCTGACCTAACCAGTGGTCTGCATACATCTAGTTTCCAAAAAGTTCCTCTTTAATCACATACCACATCACATCACATATCACATCTGCTTCCCTGTTTTCTGAATCTAAATTTAAATTTTAACTTTTTATGTATTTGTGTTGCAGGATAACTGATTATATATTTGACACTAGAATATACTCTTACCTCCCCTTTGTTTAATAAACTAGTGAGAGAGCAGGACAAAGGATAAATTCTTTTCCTGGGTGGTGATTCCAAAATACTGCTTCAGACCCTGTGCTGGCTTTTGTGACAGACTTTTCAAGAAGGAAAGCGTATCATGGACAACATAGTCTTTGTCCATTTTCTCATTTTGTTGTGCTTTGCCCTCTAAGAGCTGCTCTTTATTTCCTGTGCACTACACTGTGAGATTCACACGCTTTAGTGAGTTTAAGTATGACTGTCGCAGTGGTGTGTAATTACAGTTTCAGAGTTACCCAAGGATGAAGCTAACTGATTTTTTTTTTAATTTTCTGTAGGCTCTCAAATTTTATTTCAGAATAGATGGTGATCTTACAGCTTTAAGATGGAAATTTCTGCATTTTAATATTTTAAACAAAAATAAAATAGAGAAAGAAAAAGAGAAGGAGAAAGAAAGAAATTTCTGTTACATTTGTAATCACATTCTTTCCTGTCCTTCAGCCTCACATGGACTGTTATAAGGGGAGAGAGTACTATACTTTTAATCTAATAAACATCTGTCTTCATTGAATTAAAATCTTCCTTTTGTTCTGAGAAACGAAAACTGGGGGGGGTGGAGAGCACCGGGAAAGGTTTCTAGATCTTTTTGTTGTTGTTAAGAAGAGTCACAAGTTAGCATATTTGTCCTGAGTCTAAAAAATATTCCACAGGTGTTTCAGCTTCGCTGAAGTGACAGAATAAATGTTGAATGAGGTCAACACTGTGGACAGTTAGAATGCAGAGAGCCACCTCTGAGTTTTCAGTGGGGGAAACATCTGCATTACTTTTTTATGGGATATGAACCTTTGCTGCCTTTTATTGGGAACTTTGAAATTATTAATCTCAGCTTTGAAGCATGTTTCATAGGATTGGGATCTGTGCTCAGTGTCATAGTGCCCCTTGGGATGGATAGCCCGGCCCTCCTCACCGTTAACCTCTGCACTAGTGGAAGGAGGTCTGGGGATCTCCCTTTCAGTGACCCTTTTTGAAACCTTGTGTTGAACAGCACTTTCCTTCCTTGGCTTTCATGACATTTTATCTTTCTTTTCCTTTCTTTTTGCCGTTTGCAAAGACTCTTGGGAGGATTTGACAGATTTGGCGGAGCAAATGCGCGATGATACAGAAGGTGCGTGCCACGCCAACCTCTTTCAGCCCTTGTTTTCTTTTCTTTCTTTTTTTTTTAATTTCTTACCATCTTTTGGTTGTTTTTCATAAGGGGGAATGTTAGCTTTAGGTTTTCCTTCCCATGGCAGTAACTGGAGCAGTAAGCATGTGTCCAGATTTTTCGTATAGATGCTTCATGCAGGATCAGGGTTTCCAGAGTCTTGCATTTAAAGTCTTTATTCTCGTGGTTTCAAGGAAAGCGGCATTAATCTGTGTTTATACTGTTCCCTTGGAATAGTTGAATGACATGTTCAAAGGGGACTTTATTTCAAGATTAGATGAAGCTTTTCTATGGCTGTGTTTTTCATTTGTGTGTGGGGAAGATGTGAAATTTTTTATCCTTCATGAAAATGTATATATATCCGTATTTATGTTACATATATATTTCTGTGCATCCCACAGCAGTCAGAACAAACATATCCCAGCAATCTAAAGTAATTGGACTGTTGCTCTGATGAGAGGACCTCCATGACATGAAGTGCTTTCAGCTTGGTCGTCATTCCTTTCTGGTGGAATTACTTTGAAAAGTCCCACGTATGTTCTAAAGTATGAAGGTTCCCCAAACCAGTAATTGTTTCTTCTGTAATTGGCACCTAATTTCAGGGAACTCAAGGTGATTCACACATTTTTTCCATTGCTTTTCGG